ACCAGAAAAGGTTGCACACTTTTGCAACAATTAATCTCCCATTCAACAAAAGCCTTACCTGAGCCAACTGTCCCTCTCCCTCCCTCCCGCTAGATTTAAAGGGTCCTCAGCTGGTCGGCAGGCCACATGATCCCTGCCGCTCAGCAGAAGCCCTTTAAATCAGGGAGGAGGGAGGGAGGGAGGGAGGAGGGGTGCTTGCTCTTGAAGCAGGGCTTGCGGCACGGCTCGGGGCATCTCCACCCACTCCTGGAACATCCCCCCCCCCAACACCTCTGCTGGAACGATGAGGGGACCTGGCAACCTTCAGCCCTGCTACCAGTAGAACTCATGAATTAGATGGCAGAGATTGAATCTAGAGCATTAGAGTGTTACTTTGAGGGGGAAAATCTTCAAATGGTAGTTGGCGGCGGCAGAGATTGATTTATACCCTGCCCTTCACTACCTGAAGGAGTCTCAGAGTGGCTTACGATCTCCTTTCCCTTCTCCTCTCCACAACAGCCACTCTGTGAAGTATGTAGGGCTGAGAGGGCTCTTTCAAGAACTGCCCTTGAGAGAACAGCTCTGAAACAACTTGTAACTGACCCAAGGTCACACCAGCAGCTGCATGTGGAGGAGTGGGGAATCAAACCCAGTTCTTCCAGATTAGAGTCTGCGCTCCTAACCACTGCACCAAATTCGCAGAAGAGGCCAGTAGCACCTTAATTTGTCACAGGGTATTGTCAAGGAAATAGAATTTCTTTTCTTTCTTGCAAACACTGGTTCAAGCGTCATTTGTAAATGCTAGGCCTGAGATGAAGCTATAAAATCTAAATGGAAAACTACTGCTCTTGTTCTTGCCTCTTAAATCATAGCCCAGCTGTGGGGAGTGAATTTGTACCTACCTGAACTCCCTTGGGTCAAGGAAATAGAATTTCTTGTTTCTTTCTTGCAAACACTGGTTCAGGCCTCATTTGTAAATGCTAGGTCTGAGATGAAGCTGTAAAATCTAAATGGAAAATTACTGCTCTTGTTCTTGCCTCTTAGATCACAGCCCAGCTGTGTGGAGTGAATCTGTGTCTACCTGAACTCCCTTGGTTCCCAGAGCCATGGCACCTAGCAACCAATTAGCTGCATTCCTTCAATAATAATAAATAATAATACTTTCAATTTATTGATCGCTTTTTCCCACTCATGCGGGCTCAGAGCGATTTACAGTTACTCAAAGAGACAATGATGCTGAAACAGATTTTTCCCACTTTTGATCTTGCCGCGCCACAAATGTTAGTCCTGGCAGCTAACACCTCCCAAGGGGAGTGGTGTGCCCACCCCCTTACGGGTGGTCCCCAATTTATCTACTTGTCAAAGCTTTCGAATCGCTGGGTAGACGATGAGCTAGGGACAAGGCTTGGTTGCTCACACCAGCACGGGGCTAGAACTGACAAAGCTTGGCAGTTCAGATGTTATAGTTATGCAGGGGATTTACCCTCCGCGCCACTGCTCCCTTTCAATTAGAGTTCATGATTTACACTTTGTAGACAGGGGCAGATAGACTGCAGCTATCTCTCCATTTTCACCTGACCTCACTTAAGTAATCTGCTTACATCACACCACCTGTTGACATAATCAATCTGAGATCCGATTAGTCTGAAGAGCCAGAGACCACATTGGATCTCAGTCATAAAGAAGTTGGCCTTTTGCCTTGTTACCAAGCTGGTTTTTAAAATTCTGTCAAGCTCTGGCCTCTCTTGCCATAGAATGCTGCCCAGCCAAACTCCTGGTCTGTTGTATTAGGGGTTAACTGTTTTCTTAGATGCACTTCTTTCACTGTTTTATCTCCCATGCCATTTATCTTCTTTGCCAGGATAGGGGATGAGTGGATGCTGGTGTGAATGTCTGCTTGAGCTTGTGTAGTATGTATGGGGCCACAGAAAGCACATGGTCTCAGCTTTTCACTTAACCTTGGAATGTAACTCAGTTTGCAGGTGTTGGGCTGCCCCTGAGGGTAGGCCTAGAGCTTTGGTGGGCTGACTAAGAACACTGATTGGGTGGTTTGCATAAGGGGGCTGTCCTGCTTTTTGTATAGGGTCGGATCTGGCATCCAGTGGTCAGTTCTGACACAGAATCTGTCTATACTTGGAATCTCTTTACCTCCAAATAACTCTTGCTGCTACAAGTGTGTCGTGAGAGTGATTGAGTCCAGGACTTGACAACTTCTAAGCTATGCTTCATGCTGGATGGTGGCTTGCTAAATTGCTTGCTGTGGGCCAGAAACAATGCTGGCCTGATGCTGACTTCAACTGCTGAAACAACCTTTAGATTCTGGAATGGTAACATCTTGTAACTTTTGAACTGTGTAGCTAGTTCTTGAATTTAGTTTGTTATTTTGATTCCTCAGTGCCAAGTTCTCTTTTGATATACTCTTGCACAATTTTAATTCATTTTAATTATATTTTGTGGTGTTTTCTTATTCAGAAGTCTCAATCTAAATCCAGGTACTTTGACCATAGTGCTTACCTACTAGGTTAATTCTTTTGGTGGATACTCATTCTGCATGTGGCCAACCTTGCAGGGCTGACTTTCTGGTTGATGAGAAAGACCTCTGCTTGATACCCTGGAGAGCCACTATGAATGCGAGTAGTCATTGCTGACCTTGACATACAAGTGGTCTGACTCAGCATTAAGATAGATTCAGGTGGGTAGCCTGGTTCTGTTGGTCTGAAGCAACAGAACAAAATTTGAGTCCAGGGGCATCTTTAAGACTAACAAAGTTTTATTCAAGGCATAAGCTTTTGTATGCATGCATGCTTTTTAAGGCACATTGAAAAATGTATCTGAATGCATTTTCAATGTATCTGAAGAAGTGTGCATGCGCATGAAAGCTTATACCTTGAATAAAACTCTGTTGGTCTTAATGGTATCTCTGGATTCGAATTTTGCTCTGACTCGGAGTTAGGCAGCTTCATGTATTCATTCATTATCACCTGTTAACTGCCACAAGCAGAGCTCAAGAATAGGAAATAGGATTGCCAGCCCCCCTGGTGGAGGTGGGAGATCCCCCACTGCCAGGCCTCACCCCCTGCTATCAATCAGTTGGCCGGTGGGAGGCACTTACCAGAAGAGAGAGGGAGGCTCAGGCTGTGTTGCTGGTGATGTGGCGACATCACTTCTGGCATGCACCAGGAGTGACATCATCACATCAGTGATGTTACAGCAACACTCTGGTATTTGGGCAAAAACTCTACGCTAGAAGCCATTCTTACCATTGAGATTTTAGCTGAATATTAGACCATCGCCCCAACATCACAGTGTGTGATGTCACTACCATGTCACTTGCCTGGACTGCGACCTCCTTGCACCGGAGCCATCGGCAAGTACCACCAGGTCCTCCTGCAGCTCGGGGGGGGGGAAGAAGGGACCTACGCATCCCAGAGGGAAGCAGCCAAAGTGTGGCACATGCTCCTTCTCTCCAGGCCCCGCCTGGAGGCTGGCAACTCCATAATTGGTGGGCGCGTCCAGGGGGGTGCCAGAAGGTAGCACCGCCTAGGGCACAAAAAAACCTTGGGCCGGCCCTGGGTGTGCAAACTAATCTGGGAGAACTGGGTTTGATTCCCCTCTCCTCCACTTGCAGCTGCTGGATGACCTCGGGCAAGCCATAGTTCTGACAAGAAATGTCCTTGAAAGGGCAGTTCTCAAAAGAGCTCTCTCAGCCCCACCTACCTCACAGGGTGTCCGTTGTGGGGAGGGGAAGGAAAAGGAGTTTGTAAGCCACTCTGAGACTCCCAAGTGAAGGGTGGGGTATAAATCCAATCTCTTTTTCTAAATCTGAATGTTGTACAGCCTTGCTCCTTGGATTCATTGAGCCCTGCATTTTTAAAGATGAAGATCTGGATAGGCTGCACAGACAGAACACATGACTTCATGGGCTAGGAATGTAATCTGGGGATTGGTTAATAGAGGGGGAAGGGATTGTTGCAACAGTTCTTTCTGGAGGATCCATAGTTTGTGCTGCTTCCTTTCAACCTACACAGGTAAGTGCCATCAAGTTGCAGCCTATGGCAGTGCCGGATTTACGCATAAGCTAAATAAGCTACAGCTTAGGGCCTCGCAATCTGCTGGGGCCTCAAATAAAAACACAATATAAAAAATGATTTCAAATATTAAAAAGGCGTATATATTTTAAATTTTTCTGAGCCCAGCTGATGTAATTTAAAACAGTAGGGGGCCTCTGGGTTTTGTATAGCTTAGGGCCTCAGCAAGTCTAAATCCGGCCCTGGCCTATGGTGACCACAGCAAGGGGCTTTCAACGCAAGTTTGCCACTTTCTTCTTCTGCAGTCTTCCTTGGCGGTCTCCCTTCCAACTG